TTCGAAAGTTTCCGCCTTTATTACGTGCCTCGAATAGACCCCTAGTTTGCATCATAGTGAATGGTTTGAATTACATTTATTTTCTGGCGATTGGTAATGCCCGATTTTTATTTTTAATATTGCGATAATTTGTTCTTATTCGAAAGAAGTTAATATGTTACTATAGCTTCGAAAATAATTCGAACTTCGAAATATGGTCAAAGTTTAATATTTTATTTATCGTTCATATAGTGTGCCAGGCAAGGCGCATTTAACAAAGTGGAGTTACCCGTGTACATATAAGCATCTAAGGCATTTACAGTGGCAGTAGGCATCGTTGTTGTGGCATTTACAGGGGCAGTTGGCGCCATCGTTGTGGCAATTACAGGGGCGAATTCGCTACTGGCGAGGTTGACGCTAGCAGAGACGCCGATTGAGGCGGCAGCGTTCGGGTTGGCATTGACATGTATAGGATTTGAAGTAAAATCGCTTACCTGGTGAGTCTGGTCGAATATACTTGCTTGCAGGCCGCTGGCTGGTGGAGCGCTAGATGGCTTCGCTGTGTACGAAGGCACGTTGAACTGTTGAATGCTATGTTGCGGATCTCTGTGTGGCGAAGCGCTAGTCAATGGAGCGCTATACGCTGGCGCAGGAGGTGGCATAACGCTGGATGTAAGGGCGCTAGCTGGCGAGACGCTAAATGCTGAGGCATTAATTGGCGGAGCGCTGGACGGTGGAGTGCCCGGCCCACTAAGTTTCATGGCACTGGGCGGCGGAGCGCTAGGCTCCGGGGCGATGAATGTGGAACCACTGGACGGCGGAGCGCTAGAATGCGGAGCGATGAATGTCGAAGCGCTAGACTGCGAGGTGCTGAATGTCGAGGCATTGGTTGGCGGACCACTGGACGGCTGAGTGCCCGGCCCACTAAGTTTCATGGCACTGGGCGATGGAGCGCTATGGTGTTCGGCAGCTTTAGCGGACGTGGCGGCAATCTTCGCTAAGCTGCCTGGCGATTGAATGGCAGGCACTAGGCCTTCTGGCTGATTGCGCTTACTCCGACGTACAGGCGAACGCTCCATTCCAAAGTCCTTATAATTTGATGATCAAACGGCAAATTTGTGTGCTATGACAAATGTAATCCCTCGCTTCAAATACTGCCAGTTAAAATTGGCACAAAGTCGGCAGTCGCTTTCTTGTGAAATTGCGAATGACTAAATGGCGGCAAATTAGCACACTCGTTGACGAAATGGCGGCAAATTAGCGTGTATACTTCGGCGACGAACAAGTAGAATGGAAAATAAAGCGTATCACGACACCGAGATTTTGGTTTAACATGCGCACTTGCGCAAGTTTATTTTCCAGTGTTCTACCCTCGGTTTGCTCGCGTGATGGATGACAATTTGTGCCGTTGCCCGAATTTATATGGCAATTCAATTAGCGGGATCGCGAAACAGAGCAAAGCGAAAGTAGAACACAGGGTTGTAAATTTATTTAGCAAATCCAAAACTTAAGCTATTACAAGACCGACTGAATGACTATTACAAACGACAGACTGAATGACTATTACAAAGGACTGACTGAGTAAAAATAACAAATGATTGGACATACTTAACACAATAAGAATCATACTAATTTCTCACAGATATACTTAGGGCCACTGTCGGAAAATTCAGCCTCCACGACGAAACGTCCGATAACGGACTGAGGCTGATCGACTTCGCCGGGGCCCGAAATATGGTAATATGTAGTACAGGGTTCCAGCATAAGAACATCCACCAAGCTACATGGCTGTCTCCAGATCGAAAAACGAGAAACCAAATCGATCATGTTGTGATAGACGGAAGGCATGCTTCAAGCGTTTTGGACGTACGTACACTCCGAGGGCCAAACATCGACTCGGACCACTATCTTGTTGTAGCCAAGATACGCACCCGCCTCTGTGCAGCAAAAAATGTGCGCCCAACAATGCAAGGAAAGCTTAACGTCGAAAAGCTGCAATCACAACAGACGGCCAATTTATTCGCCACTCGACTCACACACCTGCTCTCTGAGAGCACTCTTCAACAATCCGACGTACGCGAGCAGTGGAACCACATTTCCCGATCATTAAGTACCGCCGCCGAAGAAGTAGTTGGATTTCAGCGAGCCCGAAAGAACAACTGGTACGATGAGAAATGTCAAGAAGCCGCATAGAAAAAAGATGCCGCCTACAGGGCCACGCTGCGATCGGGCGCAACGCGAGCCATGTGGGACCGTTATAGGGAACTGAAGAAGGAAGCGAGACGTATTTGCCGCAATAAGAAGAGAGAGGCCAAAATACGTGAGTGCGAAGAGCTTGAGATGCTGGCCGACAGGAAGAACGCCCGAAAATTCTACCAGAGGGTTAGGCGACTTACGGAAGGTTTCAAGACCGGGGCGAACTCCTGTAAGAACAACAATGGCGACCTAGTGACCGATGTCCAGAATATACTTAAATTGTGGAGGGAACACTTTTATAACCTACTGAATGGTAGCAGCGCTGAAAGTAGTGAGGAAGACGAACCCGAGTCCCTAGTCGATGATGATGGAGTAGCTGTCCCACCGCCTGACTATGACGAGGTACGAATAGCGATTACGCGGCTGAAAAACAACAAGGCTGCTGGAGCTGACGGCCTGCCAGCCGAGCTATTCAAGTACGGCGGCGAGGAGCTGATGAGGTGCATGCATCAGCTCGTATGCAGAATATGGTCAGATGAACGCATGCCCGACGACTGGAATTTAAGTGTGCTCTGCCCAATCCACAAGAAAGGCGACCCCGCCATACGCGCCAACTACCGCGGAATTAGCCTTCTAAGCATAGGTTACAAGGTCTTATCGAGCGTATTGTGCGAAAGACTGAAGCCCACCGTCAACGAGCTGATTGGGCCTTATCAGTGTGGCTTTAGGCCTGGAAAATCCACCATAGATCAGGTATTCACAATACGCCAAATCTTGGAAAAGACCCGCGAGAATAGGATCGACACACACCATCTATTTGTCGATTTCAAAGCCGCTTTCGACAGCACGAAGAGAAGTTGCCTTTATGCCGCGATGTCTGAATTTGGTATCCCCGCGAAACTAATACGGCTGTGTAAAATGACGTTGAGCAATACCACCAGCTCCGTCAGAATAGGGAAGGACCTCTCCGAGCCGTTTGATACCAAACGAGGTTTCAGACAAGGGGACTCCCTTTCGTGTGATTTCTTTAGTCTTATGTTGGAGAAGATAATAAGAGCCGCAGAACTGAACCGCTCAGGCACAATACTTTATAAGAGCGTACAATTGCTGGCGTATGCCGACGACATCGATATTATCGGTAAAAACAAGGGCTACGTCTGTTCTGCCTTCTCGGGATTGGATAGAGCAGCAAAGCGAATGGGTCTGGTGGTGAACGAAGACAAAACGAAGTATCTCCTGTCATCACACAAACAGTCAGAGCATACGCGTCTTGGCACCCACGTCACTGTTGACAGTTACAAGTTTGAAAAAGTAGACGACTTCGTTTATTTGGGAACCAGCATTAACACCAATAATAATGTCAGCCTTGAAATCCAACGGAGAATCACTCTTGCCAACAAGTGCTACTTTGGGCTGAGTAGGCAATTGAGAAGTAAAGTCCTCTCTCGTCGTACAAAGATCACACTCTATAAGTCACTCATCATGCCTGTGCTGGTGTATGGCGCGGAAGCATGGACAATGAAAGCATCTGATGAGGCGGCTCTTGGAGTTTT